TTATTTTTTTTTTTTCATTTAGCCTTTATTTATACAGGTAGTCTGATTGAGCCACGAGAACTCATTTTCAAGAGTGACCTGTTTAGGGAGCAGATGGGGGTTAAGAACCTTGCTCATGGGCCCAGAGTGGGGCGAATGAGGGTGGGGGCAAGTGTGGGTGCTTCACCTACCCCACCCACATTTTTGATGTTGTCGGTACCGGGGCGTGAACCGGCGATCTTCCAATCACAGGCCCACCTTTTCTAACCTCTGCGCCACCACTCGTTCTGTCTGTGAAACTGCTTCAGAGCTTCTCTCTACATGTCTTCTGAACCGTAATTTTTTTGCTATGGATCTGGTCAGTTAGTCTCTCAACACAATTGATAAAAACATTTCAACAAGAAGACAAGCTTCAGGCGAGTCGACTTTTCTCGATGAGAAGACAAGTGCCAAGGATGCATATCCAACGGGCGGTTGTGGCTGAATGGTTGGAGCAGTCGTCCTCCAGTGCAAGAGTTGGGGGTTCGAATCCACCAGCAGTCACATGCCAAAGTGTCCCTGGGCAAGACAATGAACCCCTCTGTGCGTCCCATTGGTGTATGAGTGTGATAAAGCACTGATTAATATATTTAGAATGATTTGTTCAATTAGCTTTGTAGAGATCTAGTCAAGTGCTGTATCAATGGGTAAATGAGGACACAGATATTGTAAAGAGCTTTGAGTGTCTTGATAAGATAGAAATGTACACAGTCCATTTCCATTTACCATTTACAATTGGATTTATGATAACTGGTTTCCTGCTTTTTGGATTTGGCTGGTTCCTGGTCTATCAACAAACAAGGAAGTCGTCGGCAGCAAATTTGGCCCTGGTCAGACTGCCTGCGTCTGTCCACTTAATTTGGACTGTTGGGATTCGAGAGGACCAGCAAAGACTCAAGGCAGACATGAATCAATAAAGTTCTGCCTGTTCCCAAAACATTTGTTGCTTATCTGAATTTGGCTCCCTGACTGGTCTTGACTGGCCACCTTATCTCAATTTGCCTGGAGGCTCTGTAAATCGACGCTCTCCCCCCTCCCTTCCCCTCCCACCAAGGAAGTCTACAGACCTATCAGAGGGATCCGGCTGAATAAACATTGTGTCATCATTTCAGGACTCTCGGATTTTCTCTGGTGCTGTTCCAGGTCGACCTCGGCACGTGAGCGTTTACGGATCTCACCAGGGGAACTGACTGATTGTACCATTCTTATCATAACTCTTGCAGTGCCTCTGGAGTGTCCTTGGAACGATCACCACTTTTGTCATCTCCCCTTCCCTGCCGAATGTCTACATCACTATGTGCGCGGTGTTTTTTCAATATCAGGGTCTTTCTTCTCAGCCAAGAAGAAAGTGTTTAATTGTTTGTTTTTTTGCCTATAAATCCTTTACATGTGTCACTTTTATTACTTTTTGTCCGTCTAAACAGGTCTCACTTGTAAAGGAGTCTTCGAGGCTCAATGGGATTTATCTGTCTAAATAAAGGTTGAATGAATTAATGAATATATTGAGTTGTTCCATGAATTTAAAGCAATGATTGCAAGAGTCCAGTTACCAATGTGATTTAATCTGGATGATGGATGATCTACATAGGAGAAAGTCAAATTTTGACTATAGTGATCCTACTGGTGTGCGGATAGTAAGAAGATAAGTTAAATAGGATGTAATTAGACTGTACAGCATAATGTTACAAGAAAGTTAAAAAAAAAAGAAGCTAGAAACAGGCAGGAATTCAATGAAGACATGTTTAGACTGGCAATATTTTTTTTTCCTTCGGAAACCTGTTATGGACTAAAGATAAACGTAATAAAAGGGTTTTTGAGAATTACTCAATATTCTTAAAATTTGCATTTTAATTTTGTTTTTATTATAAACGTTCACACTGTTCCAACAAAAGAGCTAAAATACCCACAAGGTAATAAAAAATCCACATTACCGACACTTCAAAATGAGAAAAAAATAAAAATCGTAGCTTGGCTGAAGATTTTCACTAATTTTACTGTTTCAACTCAATTATTAACCATTGCAGCACACAATCCATATAGAACAGTGGCAGGATCAAGATACAGAGTGGTTTGGTTGTGAAACTTTAAAGTAATAAAGACCGTATACAACATAAGACATTACATTGTTGTTTCTCTAAAACCTGTATCTTGAGTCCACATGGATACACCAAAAATACATTTATTTTTAATAGATTTTCTGAGTTTTTAAACATCTCTTCCAACCAAAAACTCAGATTGTGAGTGGATTGAAGGTGTAAATTACTTGTTTTAATGAGAATTGTTTGAACGGGGCCTGATTTTTGACAAATTTGCACCAGTTAGTAACAAAACAGACCTCGCTACATACTTGTACATTGATCACAACTGTTGAAGATTATTGGCTGCTGTTGGTCGGTTAAGCAAATATAATTGTAGAAGCTTGTGGCATACCTGCGAAATATCACATTTTCTTTTCCAATTATAAACACTTTAAACTTTTTGACTTCTGTTTTGTGATCAAACAGAGTAAAACACAGTTAGAGCTTTGGGGAAATTAAAAAGCTTGGGGGTCATCCTTCAGTTGCACACACTAAGACACATGGAACTTAAAAAAAAAAAAATGTTTGTGTTATTTTTATGTTTTTCACAAAGCTGGGCCAAATTTGACATGACAGCAGGGACAAAAATCAAGTTTATAGATATGTCAAAACATATTTAATCATTATTTTGTTGCTTAAACACACATAAATAAATCCAAACCTGCATGTGCTCTATCCAACTCATAAGCTAAAGTGAACCATGTTGTCAGTGAAGGTTACAGCATGACAGATTGAAGCGCATTGAGTGGAGACGGATGATGAAACACACGTGGAGGTTTTGCTATGAATACAAACACATTTATTCCATATTGAGACACAGAGAGAAGAAGTGTGCCACTGTGGCAACTCTGTTAATAATTCAGAACTTTTTGAAGCTGTGATGTCATCGATTCCTCCACGGAGGCTCTTTCCCCACCTACAAGTGTCTGTAAATGTATTTGTGTGGGCATGTGAGCGTGTGTCATACTGTCAGACAGCAAAAGCAAAAAAAGAAAAGAAAAACAGCAACAGGCACCAAGACTTTGCTTGACTTTCAATTATTGATAATGCAGGAGCCATAGCTTTCATCTTTTTATCCACTTCAGAACTCCTGCCTCCATCTGTCACATCTCTAGAAAACTAGATCATGCAGTAGATTGGACACACCAGTACACACTCACACACGCCTTTAACGGCAATATAAAACAATATTTTTTTGTTGTTTTATTTTTCTGCATGCAAATTCACTGTAAATGAAGCCACTTCACACAAATGATATAACCATGTTAATCTGGTCCCCCTTTGACCCAGGAGTCATGAGACAGTGTTGTTACCAACAAACCCATAAGGGCTCACACACTACCGTTGCTTAGCCTGCATGCTTGGCTAAGTCATTAACAGGCGAGCGGAGAGGCGGAAATGAAATTAGCATTTTAATTGTTTTGCTTTGAGTGGTTTTCTAGCCTCTGACAGGGATTAGAGCCTCTTCTCCGCTCTTAGCCAGCACGACTGTCAACAGCTCACTCTGCTGTCAGCAGCAGTCCTCGAACTCTGTTTCTGTGTGTGTGTGTGTAGGTGTGTGTGCGTGTGTGTGTGTGTGTGTGTGTGTGAGAGAGAGAGAATTTGTGTTGAAGAGGGACAAGCAGCAAAGTGCGCTAAGGTGGCATGTGTGCGTTTTCAAGTATGTCACCTTCACTCTCTGGGGATTGGGCACGTTTGGCTATCTGTCCTAGTCCAGCTGTTTTGCATTTCACAAGTGAGTGAAAGCGTGCAGAGATTCACACACATGCTTGTGTCACTGGGAACCAGGACAGGTAATGAGCGAATGATGGGAAGTTTATGCAGAATAGGATTAAAAAAAAAGGCGTGTGAGAATTTTGTAAAATATTTGAAAATAATTTTCCAAACTTGCATGTTATGAGCAGAAATTAAAGAATGCAGAAAACAGCTACTGGACATGTCACTTTTATTATTTTACTGTATCCCAGTATATTTACCAGCTACAGTGCCTTGGTAAAGTTTTCACCAACCTCAGCAGTTTTCCTGGTATGCTGTCCTGTGAGTTGGAGCTGAATTGAATATGTTTGGGGGTTTCATGTAATAGGCCTAAAGGAAACAACAGTCAGGGGTTTACAGTATATCCACCTGCTGCAAAAGCCACCAGAGATTGCAACACTGATAAGCAAAAAGTACCACCATCGTGAAATAAAAACATTATCCAGACATATCAGGGACAACTTTTTGAAACGTATAGTGGTCTTTCATTTATCGCGGGGGATCCGTACCCTCTGGCTGCACTCGGCTCTCGGCCACGCCCACTTCTCCGCTGTAGAGTTGAGATATGACATTCTGCAGGAAGAAGCTTCTACTGCAGTGTGTAGGCTGCACACAGGTGCAGCAAGTGCTAAATAACTTAAAATAATTCATTTTGAATAAAAATTCCATGCCGATCATGTGGTTCATCCATCAAGCAGCCAATTGTGTGTCATGTCCGCAATAGATCCAGTCTGCAAAAAATGAACTGTGAAGTAGCGAGGGACTACCATAATTGTTCACCTACACACACAGACAAACACAAACACACACACATATATATCTATATATCTATATATCTATATAGATAGATAGATAGATATATAGATACATAGATACAT